CCATGGGGAACAAACGTAGCCACCCTCCAGAAGGAAGGACAGTGTCAGCATGAATTTAGAGATGATTTGAGGATCTACATCTGAGTTATGCACAAATAGGATACATTGTTGTTAATAGTTAAGGTACTTGAGTGCATTTGTAAGATTTACCCCTGAGTTTAGTGTCACTTTAACACTGACTGATTGGTCTTTTTGTGTTTATTTTGGTCATCACTTTTGTTCTTCTTGATCTTTACTTCCTTAGTTTGGTGTGGTAGGTTGATGACTAGTCAGATTAAGGAGAAATCAAATTCTTGAGAATGTGTTCATTTATAGGGGAAAGTTAGCTGCTGGTAAAACCATGAGCATCCTAAATATAATTTACAAATACAGGCTAGGGGTACAATATGTCTAAACATATATAAGAACCTTCATTATATTTCTGGCTCTATTATACAAAAGGTATATTTAGCACAGGAACATAATAATGCAAATATAACACTGGCTGTGAACCATGTGAACTATCCATCCACCAATTAACTAATATTTGCAGACCGTTTGCACAACTATGTAAGTGCACCTTGCTACAAGTTTTATCTTTTATTTATGAATTCAGTTATTTCAAGTTTTTCATACAAGGTAGTCATAAAAAAACTTTGTTTTTTTTTCTGGTCATTTTAACATACCTCTATCTAGGATTTATTTACTCAAATTACAAAAGCAATTTGCCTACATGAATTTCCAACTTTCTCTTGGAAAATTAAATAGGGGACATGGTAACTTTAAGCATTTTCTTAACTACAGTTTGTATAAATAGGCCTGTTTCTACTGTTCAATATGTGGACAGGAAAAGGCTAATTTCAGCAAGCTGTTTTCATTTACAACCACAATATCAATTATCTCAGGCACTACAAAGATATGTAGCAATTTGCAGTATGCTGCTTGGTCTATTGAAATGTCTCCCATAATATTGCTATTGCTCAGAAAGCCATAATATTGCTGATTATAGCTATAAAGAAATATATTCAGGTGGTGATATTGCACATAAAACAATGAAAAATAATAAAAAGTACAAAGACCAAAACCATTGCCCTTAATTCTACAGATTTTCAGAAATATTAATGAAAAACTTTTTTTTACTGTAAGTAATGGTACATGAACCTCTGAATTGCTTAGTCAATTGACCTACCCTGATACTTTTTCCTATATGTTTACGCTAACCCAAGTCGTGCTGTTGCTGAGAGTTTCCATAAATGGGTATCTAACATCATTTCTGCAGCCTTGGAACTGGAAGAGTTCCAAGAATCATTCATAGCCTTCAGAAAAAAAACATATCTATTAATGAACAAAATCCCTTTCACATTAACAAAATCTGCAGATGTGTTGCTAGGACTCTATAAGAAAAAACCTTTTGGAAATAATAGATTTCCTTAAGCTGGCTATATACACTTAGAATGTTATCCATCCATCGGTAACACCATTACAAGAATCACCGCTGCCAGCTATTGTATTTATCTGCCCTGCTGCTGGTTAAATATATGCTATGTTCAGCCAGGAAGTTTTGGATCTGCTCCTTCAACAAAAGTCGCCAGGGTTCACATTTCAGCAGTAAATTACCAAAATTCGAGCAGTGTATGGCCAGCTTTATGAGAAAATCTGTAGAAGACAGTGAGTGTGATTAAAAATTAGCAGAAGATTGGTATATGGTTACTAATTTTTTCCCTTGTGCTAAAGTTGCATGACTGATGGATTTGTCGATTTCGTCCCTCATTTAAAAACCCCAATAAACACACAGACTGCATGACATGGATTTTAACGGCCACAGCAGCCCTTTTATTAAACAAACCAACTTTAACAATAACCAAAATAATAAACCAAATAATATACAAATAAATACTCTTAACGACTGTTGATCTGAGAAGGGGTCTTTGGATGCCAAACAGCCCAAATTAGGCCTCTCCTAAAAACTCCTCCCATGTCCCCAGCCACACCCCAACCACCTCGAGGACAATTACTGCTCCCCCCTCTACAAATCCTGACACCAACAGGGGGAAAGCACCCATACCAGCTGATGGCCCCCCCATTTGTATAATTGACTCCAATTGTAAGACCCCCCCAAAGACCCCCTAACCTGCCACATTAGCACAAGTGACACCTACCTCAAACGAGTCACCCCACATCTGCACCGCCTGCTGGATCCCATCCTGGAGACTCCGAAACCAAAAATCAGTGCCAAACGCATTCAAGTGCACACCATCATGCCTCCAGTAACCGTGCAATCCTCTAAGTCCGAGTGCCGAACCACAAGACCCCCAGCCTAGCGACCACCTGATTGAGCTTGAGCCAAGCCTTATTCAGTCGCTCCACTGATCAGGCATACCGCCAAACGCTCCTGGCTACGATATCTGACCAGACCACTACCACCCGTGGGAACTCCCATCTAAAATGCAACAAATCAAATTTAATGTCACGGTCCACCCCATACTGCTGCGGTCCCACCGCCATGGCCACAGGCTGAACCACCTCAGGAGTCGCATGCAACACCACCGGCAACCATGCCCCCACAGGTCCGGGGGGCGGCGACAGAGCCCTAGAAAAATTGCAACTAGCTAGCAAAGACCTAAACCCCTCAAAAAAATTCAAAACCCCCAGGCAACACACTATGCAAACCACTATGCCCCACCACCCAAGGGGGGGCCACCCCGCTAAGTGCCTGTGACTCGACCAGCCCACCCTCCTCCATTGCCATGCCAGACCCTACCCCACTAGAAGGCAAAGGAAAAGAAGGAGTCTCACCAAGCTGCCGCAGCGCCAGCCCGCGTTCAGCCGCCACTCCAGGTCCCAGATTACTCTGCAGCCATCCTCCATCATCTCCCAACATGGGTGAGCTGTCAGGACCACTCAGCTCACCGGATTCAGGCAACCATTCCCACCATTCATCAGGCGCCACCACCCTGCAACATGAAGATGAAGACTCAGGGTGCCCATCCAACTCCTCTTCCTCCACCCCAGCCACGAACACTGCCATGGAGACAACAGCTGAGGATCCCGCAGGAACAGTCTGTCCCTTTAAGGGGGTGTGGCTCCGCATCCAGCCACTGCCACTCACCGACCAGCAGACTGCACCGAGGCTTCAGTAGAGGTGGGAGGAGCAGCAAGGAGCAGCCGATCCTCCTCCCAACCTGCAGCAGCACGTCTCCCACGACGAGCTCTCCCCCACTCTGCACTTCAGCCAAGGGGGAGGCCGCATCCATGGCGCTCCAGCCTGGAAAGATGGGGCAGTAGGGGGACACACACCCCGGCCGCTGCCCGTTGCTGCACCTGATCCATGGCGGGCCCTCCCCCCGCTCAGCACATCAGCAGTGGGGGAGGCCGTAAGCACGTCCCCAGTCAGAGCAGGGGCAGCAGGGGAACAGGCACCTCGCCCCCGCCGCCCACCACAGGTCCCGATCCACGACGAGCCCCCTTCTCCAACAACATAATCCTGGAGGGGGAGGCCAGATCCACAGGCAGTCGAGGGGAAGGAAGAGTCCCGACTTGAATAACGAGCCTGTCCTAAAAACTCCTCCCATATCCCCCACCCCAACCAGCTGGAGGACAATTACTCCTCCCAAGTTCCATGTGGCCAGGCCCCCCCCTACAAATCCTGACACCAACCGGGGGGAAGCACCCATACCAGTTGACAGCCCCCCATTTGTGTAATTGATTCCTATCTAACAGTAATAGGTGCGAATTGGGCAGTGGAAGTGGCAGTCACAACAGGTATAAAAGCTATAAAAAAAGTTTACTTTTGCAAAAAAAGTTAAAGCCTTCAACTTCATACCTATTGGCCAGTAGTAAAACAAGTTTATAATATAATGTGTGACCTTCTTTTTGCAGTACCACAGAATAATGTGTTAAAGAGGTATTAAAATGTGAAAACGGAGGCCACAAAAACACTTCAAAACCACAACCACACATTCCAGCAACAAGACAAGACAAGTTTTTTTATCATGAAATAAGTCCTGAATTACAGTGCCATATTTCGGCATTCTTACGCACTACAAACAGTGCATGAAGCAATGTCACTGCATCAGTCATCAGAAACTCTGCCAGGGAGGATTTTCTGCCCAATTCTCTCTAGTCCATATGGAGTACTTTATTTCTTCAGAGGAGCAAAAGATAGAAAAGGGGGTGCCATTAAGCAGGGGACCATAAAGACATAAAATGGCCCAAAAATGTATGCAGAAGCTTGTACATATTCAGCTATGATATTGGTGTGTCAGTATGTGTGCCCTGCATGGATGTGTAAGCGTAGTTATACTTGTATATGCATGCATGTAAGAGGGCATATGCATTTGTGGACACCAAACAGTTGTTCTAAGAATCATATAAAGATTTCTCTAACATGTTTTCAGTTTTCAAATAGGCTATAAAGTTACATAGTAACATAGTAACATAGTATTTGAGGTTGAATAAAGACATAAGTCCATCAAGTCCAACCTGTTGTGTGTGTGTTTGTTTATAGTCCATGAGTGTTCTCATTCTTAAGAGTACCTGTATCCTTGAAAGTCGTCCAAAAGCCTCTTGAATGATTCCATATTAATTGCGGAAATTACCGCTTGAGGCAGTGAGTTCCAGACACAAATAAGGTACATGTTTGTTAATAGTTAAGGTACTTGAATGTATTCATAAGATGTAACTCCTGAGTTTAGTCACTTTAACATCTAATTGGTTGAAATATTCCCAGCCCACCTGTTTTTCTCAGTTAAGATATGTTTTTATTACATTGTTATACTCAATAAGAACCTATTGCTTTTTAAAGCGTGTTAGCAAATAATCCTTTGGGAAGAACACTTAATGAGACAACGCATGCCAGGTGCATAGTCTGTACAAATATAAAAATGAACTGCCTCTTAGTCCCTCAGTGGGAGCAGGGAAGGAGGAGTAAATTTTGAAACTGTCTCTAACTTTAGCCTGAAATCTTAGTTGAAGTTTCTGTGTGTCTGGCACACAGCTGCAGTCAGAGAGGAATAGGAAGACAAGGAGAGGAGAGGCGTCTCCTCACTGTCTTTCCTTTCACAAAATGCTGAACATTTACCATCAGATTATGGCTCAGAGAACTTTGCTTACAGTTTTCATTTGTTTGATGCTCAGCGGATATGTCCAGGCTCAACAGAGAGGTAAAGTTTCATGTGGGTGTTCTGTTTTGTGTGCATGCAGGGTATAATGGGACTGTCTTGAAAGTGCTGCCGCAGATTTCAAGTCCAGTAGATATTTGTGACAGCTGAAAACAAGTTTTTAAAGATGTATGAATAGACCCTAGTGTATGTGAAATGCAATGCATGCACATGTATATGTATTAATGTATGAACTTGTATATGCAGTGAAATACATCAATATATAAGCATTAATCACCCTCATTACGTGATTAAATGTTGCCTTCTGACTGCTTGGAAAAAAATTGAAGATAAAATGTAATGGGAATATTTTGCTATAGGAGAAGCAATTTTTTACCATTTTGTTCACAATTGCAATTTACATTAGTGTGTCAATATTTATATATATATATATTTATTAACTATTTAACCATTCTGCTAATAACAAAACTTGGTTGATGGAATTCCTTGTGAGTTTGTAAGTGTCTTTGAAACAACCCATAATGCATATGGATATTTTTATTTGTGATACTTCTATCTGCCTGTTTAAATGCCTTACCTGACTACTTTTGCAGTACTGTATCTTTTTGGCCCTAGGGCCCCTGTCTGCACAATACTGCTTTTCTAGGTCTTATAATGCTTGGAAAATTGCACCAGAGTTGCTACCTTTTGTCTGCAATGGATCTGTTCACACTACAGCCTGTATACTGCATTATATTTGTTGTTGTAGCTGCTTGGATATACTTTCAGTTGGATACAGGGAAAGGCATTTTTCAAGGATGCATTTTCAGTTTATTGAAAATTTGTTTTGAATGGTTTCTAAGCGGAACAGGCTAATTGGCCCTTACATTATATGTGTGTGTGTATCAGTGTAAGCAGGCTTCAAAGGTATTATTAAACATGCACTTAAAACAAAATAGGATGTGGCAAAAATGTGTACTTTTACCACTCCATCTTGGCACATCTCAGTTAGGGTGGGAGGATTAAATGGAGTCATTTATGGAGTCACTTAAGTCAGTGCTTCATTACATACACCTGCGTGTATGTGAATATATCGATAAACTAAATCTAGTATATCTATTCAATATTGGGTATTTTTAGGGTTCATTCACACTGCATTGGATGTTTTTTCTGGGCAGCACTCTGCCCTTGGCTTTGGACGCCTGGAGAAGTCATAGCAAACAATAGACAGCTGCTGTCTGAACCCTGATATAGCGTTTTGTCCACTGCAATGCCCCTCCTCCCCAACCACAAAGTGTAAAATAAACCATTGAGATCAGTGCACACTTAGGGGTTCATTCACTAAAGGCAAAAAGGCTGTTTGCTTTGCAAGAGGATTTGCACTTTGCATGTTACATTTCCTCTTATCTTGGTGAATGTGGTGGAATTTCACTTTGCAAGGAATATCCAATCACGTGAAAGAAAACTAAAAATTTTTATTTTTGCTTACACATATTGGATGTTAGACTTAAGCAGAGCTTCACCTCATATACTAAGCTAAAGGAAAAATTCCCTTGCAAAGTGTAAATTCCCTTGCAAATAAACAGCGTATTTGCCTTTAGTGAATCAACCCTTAGACTCAGCGTTTTCAGTATGAACTATTCATACTATTTGAAAAGTGGACTATTGCTTTGAGACCAAGGGTTTTAATTTATTTATTATAATAACAGGTAAGATCTTAAAATGCAAGATGCCATTAACCCTTTCGCTGCCAAGGACGTATGGCATACGGACCTACAAAAGTGCTTCCAGCTGGCCAGGTCAGTATGCCATACGGACCTGGCATTTACAGTTCTACTATAAGCTGATGGTCGCTTTAGCGACCATCAGCTTATAGTATAACTGTTCAGCAGACTGTCCCCTTTAAATTAATAGCTGTCATCAGCAGCTCAGAAGCCGCTGATGACCG